GAGCGACGTGCCGCGCGTCCCCTGCCCGGAGAGGAAGGCGCGCAGCGAGGCCAGGTCGCCCCGAGCCAGGTCGGCGAGCTGGGTTGGGAGGGCGGCGCCGCTCATGCCGCCAGAAAGAAGCAGTGCGTCGTTCAACAGGCTTTATAACCCTCGCAGGAGTCGCTTAGGCGACTCCCGTGGTGTACCTGTGTTAGTGCCAGTGCGCGCCAGTCCCGTGCCCAGTGTTGTGCGAGGGTTTATAAACTTTTTGTGTTTACCCCCCCCTGGACGCGTCCACCCTCCGTCCAACATTCGCATCCCCTCCCTACTGTCTGAATACGTTTTCCACGTATTCCAAATGACCTCCCAGAGGCCTGTATTCCACCCGTATTCCACCCGTATTCCACGTATTCCATGGAATACGCCGTATTCCAAGCTCCAAAAATGGACGTATTCCGTATAAAATTTTCTTCGCTCCGCGAATTCAGACAGTAGGATCCCCTCTTTTACATACATAAAAACGGACACCCCTAAGCGTCTAGAGCTGTGCCTGATCTCTCGAGGTTCTCGAGGTGGATACAAGTCGGCCGACTAAATGATTTTCGACCGAACCGCAGCGAAACGCAGGGGCGGTCCCCCCCGACCGAGCTGCGAAACAACGGCCTCCACACCGGCCGCGCTCGAGAAGCCCCAAAATTTTCTTCGGCGCTGCGCGCCGTCGCAGTCGAGTGTAGATAGAGAGAGAGATATTTTTAGCAATACCAAACAACTCTAACACTCACACGTAATTTGGGGCCTGGAGCCCTGTTCACGCGCGCGCGAGACGTGCAGACAGGGTTGCCAGGTGAGAGCGAATGGCGCGGTTCACGCCTCGCACAACAGAGAGAGAGATGCGCTCTGCATGGTGGGACATAAAAGAGAGCGAGTACTTGGGCGAGTAGGCCGTGCGGTCAACGCTGCCGCGCGCGACTTTGCGCGCGAGGCGGCGCAGCTTGAGAACGGCGGTGGGCGAGAAGCCGCCGCCGAACGTCTCGTGGAGCAGCAGGTTGAAGTTTGTGTAGATATGCAGCCCATCTCGTGGAAAATATGTGATAAAAAAAACGTCGCCTCGAAAGCGCCCGCCGGTATGTGTCCAGATTTGTTTGCTAGAGATGCCTTTCGGGGCCCAGAGATAAAACTTCCCTGAAAAAGAATTTAAAAGAATTCGCTATCGCTGAAAAAGAATTTAAAAGAATTTTACGCAAAAAGAACTCTAATAGTATCTCTAATGGAACCTACAACACTGGGCACGCGCGAAAGCAGCCTCCACAAACTCAAAGGGGTCTAGATTTGGAGCGCTAGCCGAAGATCGAGGGCGCTCGGCCGCGTGTAAGAGGTGGCTGGCGCCCTGAGGCGTCAATTGGTGGCGTGGGGAGTGCGGAACGCTACTGACGGCGCGACAGGGCCTCTCTCCGCTGCGTGTGCCGCCCATCGGCACGCGTCGAGGCACGCGGGTGCGCAGACATCGCGACTCTGCCCGCTCGCTCGACCCTTTTGCCGCGAGAGGGCGCCGGCCGCGTCGCGTGTAAGAGGTGGCTGGCGGCCTGGCGCCCTGAGGCGGCATTTGGTGGGGTCAGCGTGCGGTGCTGAGTCTTAGTCGTCGGCGCTGGGGCCAGATCCCAGCGCAGAACTCTGCAACGCTGGCATGCAAACACAAGAAGACTAACCCTACTCGTCGCCCTGAATGGTTGGGCAAGTTGTGGAGGACACGATCCCGGCGTGAACGCAACTAACTGACGGATCCGCTCCTGACAGTCGCACGCGCCGCGCTGCGGCGCGTGCGACTGTCTTTGTTTGAAGTTAAAAGTCAAATCAGAGCGCCGTCGGCGTTGTCCTCCATTTTCCTCCCCTGGGCCCCCGTCCGGGACCGCTCCGGGACGCACGCCGGCGAAGCACCATCAAGCTGTTGTACGGCCCCGGCATCGCCTTCCCAGGCTTAGCTAGACTGAGAGATATTGTGGGGACATGGTTGGTCTCTACAATATACTCACTGACACTCCACCTCCCAGAGCTCGTCCCGGTCCATCACGGCCATCCTCGTCCTCCGGAGGGCCCCCGGCCGCGGCGCGGTGCGGCGGCGTCACAAATCCGACCACAGAGCAGCGGGACGCGGTCGGGCGATCTAAGGCCCACTGAGGCGTATGCATTGCCCATCCAGGGCTATCACCTGGACCCATCAACAGGCGCCTGCGGCGCCGTGGTCACGAGGTGTTGTTCACACCTGCCCAAGCATTCATGCAGCACAGTAGACCTAACCCTAACCCTAACCCCAACCCTAACCCTAGGTCAGCGTGCGGGGCTGAGTCTTAGTCGTCGGCGCTGTGGGGCCAGATCCCAGCGCAGAACCCTGCAACGCTGGCATGTACAGACACAACAAGACTAACCCTGACCCTAACCCTAACCCTAACCCTAACCTTAAACCTAACCCTAACCCTGTCCCTCTAACCCTAATACGTAACCCTAACCTATCCCACCCCCTAACTCCACACCGCACCAGCGGGGGCGCCCGGGCGGAGCCCAGGTCCCCGCCCCTCTTTCCTCTAGGCCGTAGGCAAAGGCCCTTTGGCGGTCTTTCCGTCTTTGTGGATGTGCATGTGTTTGTGTGCGCAGGCGTCGTCTTTTTCAATTTCAGATTCACATCACAGCTCTTCAGGGCAACAGCCAACACGCAACAGGCAAGTTCTGACAACAGTGACACGAAAAGTGAAATGAACACGCCACCCGCGCATTCTGCTCCTCCGTGTTACTCATATACCGCACTGGTTGGGCTCCTTATTATTTTGGTTGTGGGCCCCGTGTTTCGTACGGCCGCGTCAGCCGGATTGTCGACTTGAGCGTCGAAGTCGGCATCTCGACTCCGGCCACCCCGTCGAGTACGCGGTACGTCTTGATAATTTCGAGGCCCTCGACCACGCGGTCGCCCTCGGATGTGGTGGCGCGCCGCCATCGGCGCTGTACCCGCGTAGCGTACGTGACGTCAAAGCTCGAGCCAAAGGCGCTCGACGTCGTTGTGACACGGATGAGCTCGTTCGAGCCCCAACCCTTCTCACTCGGCAGCTCGACACTCCTCTCCACCACCTTGAGCTCCGCCGCCGAGCCCGGGCCGCCAGCTTCCCGTTCGTACCGCAAAAGATTCGGCGTGCGTGCGTCCCAGCGGACAGCCGCCCCGCCGGTTCGCGACTCAATCTCAAAACCGCGGTCAAAGACGTCGCCGTAGTAGCGCCGCCCGTCCAGCCCAGTCATGGCGTCGCTCGAGCGCCTCAGGTCGACGAAGCGAACGTAGTACTTCTCTCCGCTCTGAATGTCGCCCGTCCCGCCGAGCAGCTTCCAAGCGCCCTGCGCCTGGCCAACGTCACCCTCGACCGCCGCGACACGGCGCTCGCACACCCACGTGCCGTTGAGCGAGGGAGGGTACAGCACGTCCACGTCGACGATGGGCTGCTCGCTCAGCATGTCGAAGCCGCCTCCAATTCCCTCGACGCGCCTCGCCTCGAATCCTGGCGGTGCGGTCGCGGCGGAGGTGTGGCACGGAGGACCGGCGAGGGCCGCAGACACAGCGACGAAGTGGCGGCGAGGCAGTGCGAAGGATGGCCCGCAGCAGAGGAGGGCGCTCAGCATTCTCGGTGTACGACGAGAGGCGAGGAGCCGAGCAGAGGCGGCCAGGAGAGATAAAGTCGATGTGGGCTCGCTCGGCAGCTTAACTAAGGAGAAAACAATTGGCACCCAAACAGCCTTGTTTGTGTCTGTGTGTCGCTCGTGCGTGTCGTCATCATCTGTCTTGCGTCCACCCATACCGCGTTGGTGTCCAGTCCGAGCCTGACTGTTCTTCACCTTACTACATACATACAGCCTCTCCCGTCGCGGCCCGACTGGGGCCGAGTCCGCGGGGGCTCGCACGGTGCACGGGCCGGCCGCTAGAGCACGTACTGTGCGCGCGGGGGCGAGTGACTTCGAGAAGTCACTAAGTGACTTCTTGAAGCCACTCCTACAGATAGACACCCGGCGGCAACCCGGTATACACGTGGGGAAAAGAATTTTACCTACCACGCTGGGCACGGGACTCCTCTCCTTAAAATCCCTGTGTGGTGGCGGCGTGCCGTCTCCTCCCATCCCTCCCTTGGGTTGTCTGTTTTCTTTCTTTCTTTGGGCACGGGACTGGCGCGCACTGGCACTAGCACAGGTACAAAAGAATTTACCATAGGCGACCGCTCCCTCGCACAACATTGGGCACGGCGATGCGGGCCCTCCTCCCTCGCTTTTGCAAAATCCTGCAAAGGTGGGGACGTGTCTGTCCTCGACCCAGCCCTAGCTCGGGATGTTTTTATTTTTATGTAAACTGGGGCACGGGACTGAACAAAAACACTCTCTCTGGACTGGCGCGCACTGGCACTAACACAGGTACTCTGTGGGGGAAAAGAATTTTCCGCTACAAGAATTTCTTGATTCTTCCCGCGTTGTCGTGTTCCACTTCCAGTGTGGTCTTTTCTCGCAGCTGCGAGACATGCTTTCTCGGAGCGGGGCATCCAAAACAACAGGGCGGAAGGGAGGGGTGACCATACGCGCAGCGCAGGAGGGGTGCCCCTAAGGGGGCACAAAGGTAGCTCAAAGGGGAGTGAACAAGACGCCGCACAGGCGACGTGCACGCTCGCCGCCTGCGCTCGCCGCGTCGCTCTCTCCCTCCCCTTCTTTGCTTGAACTAGGGAATAAAGAGAGCTTCTGCGAGCCGCGCTCGGCCCCTGTCGGGCGCGATGGCCGCGGCAGTACCGCCGATTGATCTGCACTGCGTTCACGCGGGGCCCGACGCCCCCGTCCAGGGCCCCGCTGCCCACCCGCTGGTGGTGGCTACTGCCGTCCTCCGCTGGGGGCCGGTTGCGGCTGCGCCGAGCGGAGCAGCGCGCGTGCAGCTTCCGCACCACGCGATGCTGCGCGTCTTTGGCCGGCGGCTGCGCCTCGCGGCGCCCCCCGCCGGTACTCCCGCCCCGATGGTCTGCCCGCTGGACCTCGCTCTCACCGGAACCGCGTGGGCTCGCTTCCTGAACGAGCTGCTCACGTGCGGGCTCCTCGACGCGGCCCCCTTCTCCTCTTCGGCTGCACTACAGCTGGCGATCGACCGCCTCGATGTGTCGCCAGCGGCGCTGGAGGTGAAAGAGCCCGATCTCCTCCCGGTGGGGGGCCTCGCCGCCGCGGCCGCGCTGGCGGGGGATGCTGCTCATGCGCAGCGCGAGGCGCCTCGCCGAGCCAGCGCCGCGGCGTCTGCGGCGAGGCCGGCGGCGGCTGCGCGCGCGGCCCTACCTTCTCGCCAGCGTCTCCGCGTACGGCCTCCCCCCGAGTGCTAACCCGCAACTACTGGCGAGCTATTTTAAGGACTACGTGCTCGCGCTGGAGGGCGCGCTGCCCCCTTCGCTCTGCGCCCCCAACGTTGCGGGGCCGCAGTGGCTGGAGGAGGCGCGCGATGCGGCGACCTACTTGCGCGGCGACGCTGGCCGCCGCAGCGTCGAGGATAAGCGCCTCTACCTGCTCGCCCCCGGCGCCCCGCTACTGTTCTCAGTCCTTGGCGACGTCCGGCGGGGGGGGGAAGCGCGCGACCTCGTGTTCGCCCTCGCCACCGCGCTCCTGCCGGACGCGCGCATGAGTGCGCCCACCACGCCGCTTGCCACCGCCGTGCGGCGCGTGGAGGCCTCGCTTGCCCCGAGGCGGGCTGTCTTGGCCGCTGCCTCTGCCAACGGCGCGTCCCCGCAGTCCGTGGTGGCCGCGCTGGTCGAACATGCCGCCTCGCTGCGCTCACCGAGTGCGGTGGCTGCAACAGACACGGCCCCTTCTCGCTCGGGCGCCTACGGAGGTGACGGGGGAGGCGGGCTGGCTTTTGGCAGCCTGGACGCGGAGTTCTCCAGCGCCCCGTTCGTGGACTTCGAGCGCACCATCCTCAACTCGCCGTGCCACACGCCGGACGAGCGCGCCGGCATCTTCGACCTCGCGCTGGCTGGCACTTTGCGATCCACTTTGCGCATCCTCGTGAACGCCCCTTCGGCCGCCGCCCTCTCGCGGCGTCGCCCCTGCCTGGGCAAGCTCGCCGAGCTGCGCCCGTTCCTGCCAGAGTACCTCGCCTCGGCGGTCCTACGCCTCTACTACAGTAGCCACTGCCACCGTGATCGTCCACGACGCGATCTTTGGAACCTCGACGCGCGCTCGGCGGCGGCGTGGCGGCTCTCGTTGCGCTCCGCCGCCGTGGCGGCGGTACGCCCCGTTGCTGTCCTAAGGCCTGATAGTTCCTCCCGCCGTCGGTGGGGCGCACTCGCCTTCTCCCCTCGGCGACGCGCGCTGCCGGCCGAGCCGCGGCGCGGCTCGCCGCCGCGGCGTGCTCAGCGGCGGCGTGGCAGCTCTGCGTTGCGCTCTGCCGCCGTGGCGGCGGTGCACCCCGTCGCTGTCATGGCGCACATATCTGCTGGGCCCGGCAGCGCCTCTCGCCGCCGGTGAAGCGCGCTCGCCTCTTCCTTTGGCGACACGCGCGCCGGCCGAGCCGCGGCGCCTGTGGCTGCCACGACGCGATCAGCAGCGGCGTGGCGGCTCGCGTTGTGCTCCGCCGCCGTTGCGGCGGTGCGCCCTGTCGCTGTCCCAGCGCCTGTTTTGGTGGGCCCGACAGCGCCACCCACTCACCGTCGGTGGGGCGCGCTCGCCTCTCCCCTTCGGCGACGCGCGCTGCCGGCTGGGCCGCGGCGCGATCTTGTGCCAGTGCGCGTTCGACGGCGGCGGCGTGGCGGCTTGCGTTGCGCTCCGCCGCCGTGGCGGCGGTACGCCCCGTTGCTGTCCTGGCGCCCACCTGTTGGGCCTGACAGTCCTCCCCTCCCGCAGCCGGTGGGGCGCGCTCGCCTCCACCCCTCGGCGGCGCGCGCTGCCGGCCGAGCCGCGGCGCGGCTCGCCGCCGCGACGTGCTCGGCGGCGGCGTGGCAGCTCTGTGTTGCGCCCTGCCGCCGTGGCGGCGGTGCGCCCCGTCGCTGTCCTGGCGCACATACCTGCTGGGCCCGGCAGCGCCTCTCGCCGCCGGTGAAGCGCGCTCGCCTCTTCCTTTGCGTCGCCAGCCGAGCCGCGGCGCCTTCGGCTGCCACGACGCGCTCAGCGGCGGTGTGGTCGCACGCTGCTGATGATCGCCTTCATCGCGGGGCTTGGGTCGGTGCTGCCTGACTCCGCGGAGGCGGCGGTCTTTAGCGAGGACTTCCTCCGCACGCTGCTGATGATCGCCTTCATCGCGGGGCTTGGGTCGGTGCTGCCTGACTCCGCGGAGGCGGCGGTCTTTAGCGAGGACTTCCTCCGCACGCTGCTGATGATCGCCTTCATCGCGGGGCTTGGGTCGGTGCTGCCTGACTCCGCGGAGGCGGCGGTCTTTAGCGAGGACTTCCTCCGCACGCTGCTGATCGCCTTCATCGCGGGGCTTGGGTCGGTGCTGCCTGACTCCGCGGAGGCGGCGGTCTTTAGCGAGGACTTCCTCCGCACGCTGCTGATGATCGCCTTCATCGCGGGGCTTGGGTCGGTGCTGCCTGACTCCGCGGAGGCGGCGGTCTTTAGCGAGGACGGCTCGCGTTGCGCTCCGCCGCCGTGCGGCGGTGCGCCCTGTCGCTGTCCCGGCGCCTGTTCTGGTGGGCCCGACAGCGCCTCTCGCTGCGGTGGGGCGCGCTCGCCTCTTGCCCTCTGCGACGCGCGCTGCCAGCCGAGCCGTGTCGGCTGTCACGACGCGCTCGGCAGCGGCGTGGCGGTTTGCGTTGCGCCCCTCCGCCGTGGCGGCAGTGCACCCCGTCGCCGCCCCGGCGACTGGCACCCGTCTGGTGGACTTCTCACCGTCGGCGGGGCTCAGACTGTGGCGCCTAAAGCCTAATGCTGTGGCGCCCAGAGGCTGGGCGCGGTCCGCTGCTGCGGCATGCTCGGCGGCGGCGTGGCAATTTTGCGCCTGATAGCGACAAGGCATCGGCGGGTCGTGGCGGCAGTGCACCCCGTCGCCGCCCCGGCAACTGGCACCCGTCTGGCGGACCCCTCACCGTCGGCGGGGCCCAGACTGTGGCGCCTAAAGCCCAATGCTGTGGCGCCCAGAGGCTGGGCGCGGTCCGCTGCTGCGGCATGCTCGGCGGCGGCGTGGCGGTTTTTGCGCCGCGCCCCGCCGCCCTGGCGGCGGTGCCCCCCGTCGCCACCCCAGCAGCTGGTACCCGTCTGGTGGACCCTCACCGCCGGCGGGGCTCAGGCTGTGGCGCCTAAAGCCTAATGCTGTGGCGCCTAGAAGCCGAGCCGGCTCAGCCACCCACCCGCCGTCTCCCTGGAGGCTCTTGGCGGGTCGCCAGGAATGCGGCGCAAAGCATCCAAACCCGTCTGCTCGGAAGCTTGCACTGTCAGGCTGTGGCGCCTAAAGCCCAATGCTGTGGCGCCTAGAAGCCGGGCCTGCAAGGTACCACTTTGGGACGCTCGCGGCACCGGCCAGCCGGACGCGCGAGGAACCTGCGGACGCTCACTGGCACCGGCGCCGAACGCGACGGACGCAGAGAGGCACCGCCTTGGGCAGACGATTACCTTCGCGAGCTGGCCCACGGAGCTGGCCCACGGAGCTGGCCCACGGAGGCTGGCCCACGGAGCTGGCCCACGGAGCTGGCCCACATGGAAGGTCGCCGGGAATGCGGCGTAAAGCATCCTGCGCCTGGGTGACGGCGATAAACTACCTTCCATCGGACTGGGTGACTGTCCTTAAAATACCTTCCATCGGAGCTCCTACCTGGGTGACGTCTCCAGCCCCCAAATACCGGACCAGCCCAAGGTGATGGCTCTAAAATTCCAGCCAGCCTCGGTGATGGCTCTATAATATACACCTATAGGTGAGCCGTCGGCAACCATGGCACGCTGGCTTCGCTTCGCTAACACGCTGGGGGCGCTCGAGCTCCTCGCCGCCGACGTCTGCGCCGCGGCGGCAGCGCGCCCGCATTGCCGGCGCCCGACGATCTGGCCCGCCAGTTCATCCTGCTGTCGCGGGCGCTTCACCTCTTCGTCGACCGCGCTCGCTCGCCGGCCAGTCTCTGGCGCGGTCCGCTACCGCCGACGGCGGCTCGGCGAGCGGCGCTGGCGCGCGCCTCGCTCGGGCTCGTTCGCGCCGCGGCGGCAGCGCGCCCGCATTTTGCCTGGCTCCCGACGATCTGTCCTGACAGTGGCCCGTCGCTCTGCCGCCGTCAGCACAAACCGCCGCCACTGCCGTCGCGCCCTGCGCCAGTGCGGCGGGGCGCCTAGCGCCCAGCTGGGCCTGACACGGCATCCTACCGTCGGGGCAACTCAGCTCAACGATTGGGTGAATTCCGGATGACTGCGCATAATGGGGTTGACCCGCCGCGCAGCAAGCCGGTGTTCACGCCAATTCGAGCTACTACATCGCTTCACGTTCCGAGCCATACGCACCTTACAACAATGGGGCAGGAGTTAAATCGGCTCGCGCCGAGCTCCTGCTGTCGTCATCGTCGTCCTATGGGCGTGCGAGGGCGGCGGGCACCGACGGCTCAGCCGAGTCGGGTCGGTAAAGCCCTCCCACTGTTCTTCGGTGGCTCTGTCGCGAGACGGTTGGCCGATCGGAACCCATTAACTACTACGTGGAGTTCATCCCCGATGAACGACTCATGGTCAAATTGCCCATCTCGACTTGCCCGTTGTCAACATCACTAGGGAGATTTGATTGGCGCTGGCGCCTGCTGTTGACAAGTGGGATCATCTGGCTTCCGGAATACTTCCGCGAAGCTGCCCCCAGCAGGCGTTTGACCAAAATCCAAATTTCCCTACTCCAGTTGAGGCGGCCCTCGGACCCGAGAAGGTCTTTTCTCGCAGCTGCGAGACATGCTTTCTCGGAGCGGGGCATCCAAAACAACAGGGCGGAAGGGAGGGGTGACCATACGCGCAGCGCAGGAGGGGTGCCCCTAAGGGGGCACAAAGGTAGCTCAAAGGGGAGTGAACAAGACGCCGCACAGGCGACGTGCACGCTCGCCGCCTGCGCTCGCCGCGTCGCTCTCTCCCTCCCCTTCTTTGCTTGAACCCACCACCATCCCCTGTCACCTCCGTGTGTGTGTGCCTGCTGGGGGATCATCTGGCTTCCGGAATACTTCCGCGAAGCTGCCCCCAGCAGGCGTTTGACCAAAATCCAAATTTCCCTACTCCAGTTGAGGCGGCCCTCGGACCCGAGAACAACTTCTCTTTCTTTCTTTCTTTTGAATTTCCGCCATCGCACATCCACACATGGGCATGCACATCACGGGCGTCTCATGCGGAGAGAGAGGAACCCGATACTTGGCTCGTGAGGAAGAGAGGAGGGGCGCGCGGCGGTGGTGCGACACCGGTACTGATCTGTACGCACAGGCGTCTCCTCGCCGGAAATCATCTCGCGTCATCCGCCATGTCGACGTGAATTAGGCAGGCCGCCCCTCACATTGCGTTGAGCGTGTCGACGACCACAAACGACTGGATGAAGGCCGGATAGTCGATCCGCCCCTCGGCGTCAGTGAGCCTCGAGCCCCGCAGCGAGAGGACGAGCGCGTGGACCTGCTCGCGCTGCAGCACGTCGTGCTCGGCGCGCTCGTGTGCGAGCACCACCTCGAGCGCCTGCTCAAAGTCGTGCTCGGCGAGGAAGCCGGTGCCCGACTCGTCCAAGTGGCGGAAGGCCTTTTGCATCACCGGCGTGCGGTCGTATAGTGCCGACAGGATGGCCTGCATCACCTTGAGCCCGAAACGCGCGCTCGCGTCCTCCAGCTCGGCGTCCGACTGCGCGCTCGAACGGCGTGCGTACACGCTCGAGCGGCGCGAGCGGCGCGAGCGGCGTCTCGCCGCCGCGCCCTCGTCGCTCTCCGGAAGCCCAAACGCGGCCACAAACTCGAGGTAGCTGACGCGGCCTGCGGCAAGGGCCGGGCGGCGACGTCAAAACACGACCGTCGCGCGCGCGGGAGCGCCATGCCGGGGCGGTTTGGCCTGCGCGCGAGAGGTCGATGTGCTGGACGAGCCGCTCCATTGCACCCCGCGCGACGACCGAGACGCCGCACGCCGACTGCAAAGCCATCAGCAACTCGCACACGTCGGGGTACGAGAGCGCGCCGTCCGCCTCGGACCGTCTCAAGATGGCGAGGAGCGAGCCGCCGCAGAGCGCCTAAGGAGCCGACGCGGAGGCCGGTTGGGGCGCCACAGGGAGCGGGAGGAGGAGCCAGCGGAGAGCGCGCTCGCACCCCGTACACGTGGGCCCGGCTGGCGCGCAGGGTGGAGCGCAGCTCGCGCAAGTGGCGTCGGGCCTCGCGGCCGCACGAGTTGCGTGGCGAGATGAAGTCGCTGCCGTCGCTCCGCCCGCCGCTCGACCGGCGGTCGCCCTCGCCCTCTCCCTGCCCCGCCTGCATCTCGGGGCTCGCAACCACGAGCAGAGCGCGGAGCACCTCGACCGGCTCTGCGGGGTGTCGCGGGTCGGCGTAGCCGAGGTCGTACACCAGCTGCCTCAGCTGGCGCGAGGAGAGGCCGAGGTTGAAGCTGCCGAGGACCTGCAGCACCTCGCACTGCCGCGCGCCGGAGCGCGTCGCGGGGTCGAAATACGACAGCAGCTCCGCCAGCGACATCTCGCGCGAGCGCGCCAGCAGCGCGCGATGAAGTCGGCTGAGCACCGAGTGCTCAAACTCTTCGAAACGGCCGCATGGCAGGCGGACTTGGAAGCGGTCGAGCCACAGCATGTACTGGACCTGCCCGCCCGGGACCCCCTCGCCGCTCGTGCCCGCCTCGGCGGCCGTCGCGAGCAGGCGCGGCGCGTACGCCGGCCAGAGGGCGCCGTACTCGGGGAACTGCGCCGCGAGCGCCGCCTCCCACTGCGCGTACGGCAGGACGTGGCGCCGGAGGCTGACGGCAGGCGCCGCCGCGCCGCGGTGCGCCGTGGCCTGGCGGTGCGCCGACTGCTGCTCGGCTGCCACGAACGCGCGCGTCAGCTGCGACTTTGAGCGGCAGATCAGCATTCGCATCGCCTGCAGGATATCGTCGTCGACGAGGATGGTGTTGTCCTCCTCCTCGCAATAGACGACACGCTCGATCCGGTGCCCTCCCGGAACGAGGTCGCCGCTCGAGCGCCGCTCGGCGACGGACGGCCGCAGCGGCACCGAGATGAGCGAGTGGCGCACTACTCGCCTCTGGCCCGCACACGAGCTGCCGTCGTAGACGGTCTGCGCGCGCAGCAGCGGGCGCCGCCCCGAGGGCTCGTCGGCCGGCTTCCCGCGCGGGACGCGCGGCGACATGCTCTGGACGGGACGCAGCCCGCGGGACGGCGGGAAGGTTTGCGCGAGCAGCTGCTTGCTGCTCCCCCGCCCGCGGTGCCTCGGAGAGTGGCTGTCCAAGAGGCTCTCGGAGCGGCGAGGCGAGATCGGCTCGGCCGCCGGCGCGGCGTCCGCCCGCAGCGCGGCCCGCGACGGGCTGAGGTCCCAGGAGCTGTGGGGCCCGTCGCTGCGCCTCCGGCGAGGCGAGAGCGGCACGCCCGACGCGCTCACTCGGTACAGCAGCTGGCGCCACGAGGCCAGCGCGGCGGCACGCCGCCCGCGACTCTGCTGCCGCTGCGGGCGCCGAGCGGGCCCGAGGCGCGCGCACGCCAGCCAGTGTGCGATCCGCGGCATGACGACGAGCAGGGCCCGCTCCTCGCAGAGCGCCCGGTACTCGTCGAGCGGCGGCGCGTAAAACTCTTTGACCTCGGCCGGCCCGCGGTCGTCGAAGACGAGGACGCCTACATCCACAACAGCAGCCCCGCCTCGGCCCGCCCGTCCGAGCCGCCTCTCCGCCGGTCGTCGGGCGCGAGGGCGCCGCCGCGGTTGCCGCAGACGCCGCCATAGTTTGAGGCGGAGAAGATGGTGAGCAGCATCGCGTCGTGCTGGATCTCGTACCCGCGCTTGCGCTTGGGCAGCTGGTGCGAGCGGATGATCGACTGGACGCCTAGCGTGGCCGTGGCCGCGGGGTGGGGGTGGGTGGGGGTGGGGGGGTGAGCGGCACCCGGCGTTGCCATCGCTGGAGTCGGCCGGGAGGGGGGCACCGTTGCGCGCGCAGAAGGCCTTTGTCAGGTCGCGCCCGAACTGGATCGAGACGCCGCCGCGGTTGTCGGAGGCGACGATGCCGTCGCCGTCATGAGGGTCGGCCCAGAGTGCGTCGAAGAGCAGCGTGTCGTCGCGCGTCTGCGTGTACCATACCTCCAGAGTATCGAATCCAGTGTGGGTTCAGCCCCGTGGGTAGTGTGGTAGCATCGCGACGTCCCGCACCCGGTGAACACGCCAATGCCCAGGGACCCCGTGTTGCGTGTCTGACTGTCACTGTGCCGGCGTGCGAGTTCGGGCCTGCAGGACGGACGGCGGCTGGCGGCAGGCGTCGATGGCGCGGATGTCGTCGAGCGTGACGTCCTCCTCGCGAAAGAGCCCGCCGTGGATCACGAGCGCCCACTCGCCGACGAGCGAGGCGATGGGCAGGTTGGTGAAGAGGTTCTGGAAGAGGTCGATGAGCAGCTCGTCGTGCGGGTACTTTGCGCGCACCTCCCACGCGAAGCCGCCGCCGTTTGCGAAGGGCCTGCGAGGCAAGGGGCGCGGGGGAGTGCGATGAGCAGCGCGGGCGGGAGAAACCCCCAGCTCGGGCGTGGGGGGCTGGTGCGAGAGGATGGTGCGGCGGCGGCGGCGGCGGGTTGGGCGAAAGCGGCGGCGGCCGGCGGCAAGGGCGGTGGAGGTGAATGCGGCAGCGAAAGCGGCGGCGGTGGATGCGGCGGCGCGGGTAGCACTGCGGGGGTCGCACCGCTCGTTCAGGTCGCGCTGCTCGTGGTTGCCGCGGTTGATGTGCCTATCACCCCGGTCCGCGAGCCGGGTGAGGGGGGGGGGGGTGACGCGTAGCGCGGCGGCGTAAAGGCCGGCGTCGCGCATAATGTCGGGGCACGCGAGCTTGAAGGCGAGGAGGAGGACGAAGATCTCCGTCGCGTTGCGGCCGCGGTCGGCGATGTCGCCGTTGAATAGGTACGCGTTGCCCGGAGCTGGCAGGCCATGTTCCTCAAAGATGACTAGGACGTCCTGCAGCTGGCCGTGCGTGTCCCCGCACACGAGCAACCGCTCACCCGGCTTGGCGGGCGGCGGCACGTGGATGAGCGAGCCGCAGGCGGCGGCCTGCGGACGGGGGGGCGACAGGCCTGGCGGCAGGGACGGCGGCGAGTGCGTCGGTGTGTGGAGGCGTCGCCTGCGCTTCAAAGGCGTGGCTGGCGGCGATGAGCATCTCGTAGACCATCTTGCGGGGCAGGGGCTTCGCGTTGGGTGAGCGCAGGTACGAGTAGAGCTCGCCCGCCTTCTTGAGCGTGTATGGCGGCGAGAGGGCGAAGTCGCCGTCGTAGGTGAGCGCCGCCGCGACCGAGCTCCACTGGCTGTGGGCAGCGGCGCCGCCGCCGCGCGGGCTGGCGAGCGCGCCGCCACGCGTGGGGAAGCGCTTCGTCATGAGCTCGTCGACGCTGCACCCCTTCAGCTGCTGCTCGAGGTAGCTCAGCTCCTCGGCCTGCTCCATGGCGTCCCACGCATCGAACGCCGCGTCCCCCGCGTCGCTCGCCTCGCTGCTCGTGTCGTCAGCCTCGTCCTTGTACGGAGCCATCCGCTCGTGGTTGGACGAGAGGCGCGGCCTGCTGCTCCTCGACGTGCGCGCAGGGACGCTCTCGACGCATCCCATCCCCGCGAGGCGACAGCGGCGCGACGAACGCAGTGGCGCGCCGAGTCCCCACAAACTAGGGCGCAAGGCCTCTCAGACAACCTTGCATTATGACACGGCGAATAAAATGGCGCGGCGGCGAAGTGTGTGTGTGTGTGTGTCGGCGAAGCTGCCGCCGGCTTCCCGCCTCCCACCCTCCCCACCGCCGGCACTGCAGCCGCCCCAACCCCGCCCTCCCAACCGCCGCCCTCCCCGCGCCGCTCTCCCCGCGCTGCTCTCGCCACCGCCCCCCCCCCCCCCTTCAGTGTCGGCCCCTCTCAATGCCGGCTGACGCCGCACGTGCCACGAGCTGGAGGCTCCGGCCTTTGGGCTGCCTCACCACGCCGTCTTGCGCCCCAGCTTGACGCGGGCGCCGCCCGCCTCCACCGTGCAAACGGCATGCTGGTCCAGGCAGTACGAGAACGCGTCAAAGTCCAGGATGCCGTCCAGGTCCACCTCCTTGAGCTTGCGGTTGGCCTGTGCCACGGCAACCAACGCCTCCGAGTATGGCAGCGGCTCGCAGTCCCCACCCTCGTCCGAGTCGTGCGGGTCGCGCATCGTCGCGGGGTGACCGATGCCGAGCTCCATGTCTAGCGAGCTGCGCAGGTCGAGCGCCTCGAGGCCGCTGAAGATCGCGAGATCTGCCAGCTCCTCCGGGCCAAAGTTGCGCGAGCAGTACGGCAGCGAGAGGACACGCAGCGAACGCGTCAGCCGGCTCTGCTTGGGATTCTCGCCCTCCGCATCGGTGCCGCACAGGATCCGGGAGATGTGGGCCGCATCGTGCCAGTGCAGCTCCTCGAGCGACGTGCACGCCTCCAGGAGCGAGCGCGTCTGCTCGACGAAGCCCTCTTCGGCCACGGCGCCGTCCGTGGCTCTGATCATCAGCGAGCGACAGCCCGCAAGCTGCGCGGGCTCGGCGCGCGCGTGCTTCTGCTTGTCGAATTTCTCGCCGCGCGGCACCGCGTACGCGAGCAGGTCCGCATCGACGAGCACCTCGAGCTCGGCGTTTGCATCCACGCCACGAGGCGGGCCGGGGAAGGAGTAGTGGACCTTGCCCGAGCGCTGCAACGCTGACTCCTTCTGCTTCTTCTTCTTCTGCTGCTTTTGCGCAGCAGTGCGCGCGGCCTTCTGCAGCAGGGCCTCGTCGGCCTTCTTCTCCGCATCGAGCACGCTCTGCCGCACCACGCGGATGAGCACCTCCGAGTCGTTGTCGAAGTTCTCGCCCTCCGCCGAGTCCCACGGCGGCGGCCCTGTGCCGAAGTGCTCGTCGGCCCAGTCCTCGAATTCCGCGGTGCACTGCCGCACGCGCTTGGCCTGTGCAACCGCCTCCTCCTCCGTCTCAAACTGCCCTTCGACAGCTGTCGTGCTTCGCGACACCAGCTCGGCCTCGGAAAATTGACGGCCACGGTGGCAGCCACGGCCGCTCATGGGATAGCTGGTCACTGCGACCAACCAAGGATCGTGCTCGGCTGGGGCTTTGCTCTTGGGTGCCATCCACCTCCGATAGGCGAGGGCCGCGACGGCGGTCCCAGTGACGACGACGACGAGAGTCGCGATTGGTCCGCGACTGGGTACCTACGTACGCGGGAAGACCGCCGCCGCGCGAATCGGGTGTGAATTCCTTTTGGCTGGGCTGCTGTGTACTCGAGTTCAGGGAGAGCGACTGGTCCCAACGATGGGCTACACACCGACGGCGACGCAGCGGCAGGCCAAGGGGGCGGCGGCCGAGCCAGCTAGGGCTGCGGCTGGGGAGCAGGGGAGAAGGCCATCTAGAGGCCAGACAGTGCGAGGTCCCTCCCTGACTTCCATGCGCATGCCACTTCGGTAGAGAGCACTTTCGCGGCGAGCGGCCCGCCACCGCCTCCGCGCACCGCCGCTATGCCGCTGCCGCCCCGCGCCTATTGCCAGATCGCGACGTTTGAGCGCAGCTCACGTCTAGGGTACCCAGGCTCCGGGCCAGTGTGCGGGGAGCGAACCTTAACGACCGCCCAGAAGATTTCTGAGCAAACCAATCGGGCCAGGATCATCAGCATATGTCCCCTGCACAACATCGTGGGCGTTTGAGCAGTATTTGAGGAGCACCGCCACTCTGAAGTTCGGCCGGGTGGTCTGCAGACCCCCCCCCCCCCGGAGCAGCAGAGGCTCCGTGGGGTCGCAGAGTCGACGCTGGGAGTCGCACTCGTCAAGCCATCGCAGCACCACGCGGTTTGCACGTACCGCTCACATCCCCTCCACCGCTGAGAAGGCGCAGATCGACCGCCGGGCCGCGTAGTCGTCGTTAAGGAGCGGATCCGGTTTTTGGAGCCGTACGAAGAGGTCCCAGACGGGCGAACATGCGGTTTTTCGACGACCACACGCGATGTGGTATCTGCTTTTTGCTAAAAACGGGCCGCCTAGTGCAGCATCACTAGTACAACACGCAACCACACTGAGAGCTCCACACTAGCCGGTATAGGCGAGCGACGACGGCGTCACGGTCGCCGGAGTGGACGCACTGCACACACACTGTGACCGTGTCGACGGTGTGACAGTGAGCGACACAATCGTCGGCGCCGCGCTTTCGCGGCGCCCCGCAGTCTACACGCCTCGGGCGCACCCCTGAACGCGCCATGGGCGCGCAGATACACCGCAGCGCCGTGGAGAATCCACACCTGGCCGGTCCCAAGCCCCGTCCTGGGCCTCCAGGCGGCCGAAGATCGGCGTTCGGGCGGGATGAACTTGTCGGAAATGGAGCACACTTGGCGCGGCTCGCCGCTCGCGGTACCTCGTGAGCCGTGATAGGGCAAAATCTGGGGTGAATACGAGGGACAGAGGTCGCAAGTTGGTCGCGCAAGTTTGCGCGGCGTGGCGCTGCCCCGCTGCCGAGGGCGCCACCAACCCGTGGCGGCGGCATTTCCAGCCCAAATTGGGCGTTCCGTGCGCCTTGCCGGCGAGAACGGACGGGCTGTGCAACGTTGGGGGGGTGAGTGGGAGGGAGGTGGTCGTGTGCCTACTTTGTCGGCCGCGCACGACAGCGATCATCGCCACCCTCCGGCCGGCCCGGCATCGCCAACCTCGCGCCTGGGGCACGGACGCGGAGGCAGGTCGCTAGACTGAGATGAGACCGCCAGTGGAGTTGGGAGTCCACCGAGCACCGGCCACCGCGCTGCGAGCCTGTCGGCTGCGAGTGCACCAGCGGACGAAGCGGCCGCTCGCGGCGAGGCCTCGACCGCGCCGACCGCGCCCGGCGGCGGCATGAGCACGACCCGGACGATGTGTTCGTCGGGGGCGGCCGTCGGCGGGCGAGCGATGGTCAGCGTCGTGCCGTGCGTCGCGCCCGGAGGAAGGGGCACGATCCAGCGCGCTCCGGTGCTGGTGTCGAGGACGAGGCGGCCTCGGCGCCGCTCGGCACCGCGATGAGCATCGCGGCGCGCGAGCGGAGAGAGAGCTGTCGGCACTGATAAGAGCACTCTGAGCCGCAAGAAAAAGAATTCTTCGCGCGCGCTCTCTAGGCCTCCCCGGAACCTCGCCTCTCCATCTCCAGCCCATGCGCCTGCGTCCAGCCACGGCACCGTGGCTGAACGGAAAGAACCCGCAGCCGGACCGCGCGCACGCACTGACAGGGTGCACGATCGGTGTGACACGAGTCTAGAGCGCCCCGAAACGGCACGATCAGACCTAAGTCGAAGGAGCATCATCAGTCTCACCCACTTCGCTCGCTGCCCACCGTCTCCGCTCCCTTCCGCTTGAGCCGCCGTCGCGGCCCTCGTTCGTCCCACTGGCTGTTGGCCCGTCCCTGCGTTGCCTGCGTTATCCCTCCTCCTCCGCGACTCCCTCAACCCTCATGTGCTCAACGCTCAAGGCCGGCCGAGCCTCTTTATGCTTTTGATATGCTTTTAAGTATGCACACTCAACAGATCGACAACGGCTCGCCGATCTATTTTTTGAAGGCGGACGTAAATGCGCCGACCATCCCCTGCATCTTTCGCGCGCCGTCGACGTACTTTTCCAGCGCCGCCGGGTCGCCCACGTAGAAGTCGGGCATGAGCGGCACGAGTCGCGAGACGCGGTATTTGTCGAGATCCGCCTCGCTCATGCCGGCCCTCTGCGTGAGCACCTCGTCGTCGATGAAGGTGTTGCCGCTGCACTCGCCGCTCCGCTGCGTGAGGATCCAGTGCGCCGCGTCCGCCATGATGTCGACGCTGCGCGAGGCGGAGACGCCCAGCTCGCCAGCGAGCATCTTGATGGCCGCCGTGGCGATGGCGGTCCTTGGCCACAAGCAGTTGAACGCGACCTGGCCCTTGAATTCCTCAGCCATGCCCAGGGCGCACATGCTCATGTTGTACTTTGCCATCGTGTATGCCACGCCACCCATCTTAAACCACCGTGGGTCGAGGTCGAGCGGCGGTGAGAGGTTGAGCACGTGCGGGTTGCTGCTCTTGAGCAGGTGAGGGAGGCAGAGCTTGGACGTCCAGAAGGTTCCGCGCCCGTTGATCTGGTGCATCAAATGATACTTTTTCGCGCGGATTTCCAGCGTCCCGCTGTTGTCGATGGCCGATGCGTTGTTGATGAGGATGTCGATCCCGCCAAACTCGCCGACCGTCGCGGCGACCATCCGCTCGATGGCAGCGTCGTCCATGATGTCGCACTGTATTGCGAGCGCCTTTGGTGCGCCAGCCTCTTCGCACTCCTTTGCGGCCGTGTGGATGGTGCCGGGCAGCGTGGCGTGCGGCGCCGCCGTCTTGGCGGCGATGACGATGTTGGCGCCGTCCGCCGCGGCGCGCTTTGCGATGGCGAGACCAATGCCGCGGCTGCCGCCGGTCACGACGAGCGTGCGGCCGGCGAGGGTCGCCATATGTCTGTCTGTGACCCCTAAGGACAGAAGGCAACCTCTGGGAAGGTGACCGGGCGGTGTGATGGCACCGCGGTTTCTTTTCTCGACGAGCTTCGAGCGAGAATTGCTCTAGCCTCACATGTCACTTCTTGTCGTCTGTTGTTTGAGTTGTGCCCTTGTTTGTGCCCTTGGCACCGTGGAGTGCTGGGGGGGGCGACAGGGAGGATGTGGCCCTGAGTTATGTGTACGCCGACTCAGGGTGTGTGGCAGCCAGCTGGCTGTGTGTCTTGTGAGCTTGTTTGTGTCTGTGTGTCGCTCGTGCGTGTCGTCATCATCTGTCCAGCGTCCACCCATACCGCGTTGGTGTCCAGTCCGAGCCTGGCTGTTCTTCACCTTACTACCTACCTACCTAATTGGTGTGTGTACTCACACTCACGCGAGAATTGGCGGCTCTGGAGTACAGCCGAAATTTCAACTTTGGGACACTACCCCCCCCCCCCCCCTCCTCCCCGGGCGCCAAATCCGCGCCCGCTTGCGCCCGGGCACCCGCGCGCCCGTTTTCCGCCGTGGCCCCGCGCGCGGAGTCGAGCGGTTACTGGACCGTCACGTGTTCAACGACGTTGAACAGTGATTGACCACGGCGCTGTTCACAGCGCGCGCGGACGGTGGTTCTGCGAGTCCCGCTCAGCAGGACTTTTGTAAAGCATGCTTGTGGCAAGTTATAGACGCTAGTATCGACCTCAGAGACCCAAACTCGAATTAATAATTAAGGCTCAAAGTATGGTCAAACAACCGTTGAACAAACAGGTCAAACAACGATATCCGACTAGTGCGACCGCTAGACGGCGGTCTCCGCCGGCCCCAAGGCTGCCCAGCCCCAGTAGCAGTACCACACCGGCCACGTGCACCGTAGCGCTGGAGTTGGTCAGTGAGGCACTAGACGGGCTACGGAACCATGCGCGCGCCGGCCGGATAGGCTGCGCGCAGGGGCCGCGCCGCCTCGATTTTGCATCTCCGCTCCGCGGCCGACTGAGGGGCCAGCTCGCCCGGCGACAAGCCCAGCCATCGCCCAGCGCCCCGTATCGACGGGGGGCACGCAAAAAAACCGCACCTACGACTAGGGTGAGCCCGTGAGGGCGTCGGTGTGGGCCGCGGGCGGGCTGCCAGGAGGGCGCGGGTGGGAGCATGGGAGATGCACCACCGCTCGACGAAGACGCGCCCGACGAAGCCCTGCTTGCGGAGGATGGTCGATCCTCACCTACTAGCGTCGGGCGTGTGCGAAAAAGAGCGCAAATCGGAGCTCAACTCGCGCGCGGCTGGGAAAGGGCTGTGGCACCCCTCCGAAGGCGCCTCGCGAGGAGCTGCTGCTGCCTCCAAACGCGCTCGGGCAGCACGTCGGCGCGCCTGCGGGGTTGGGGAGGTGAAACTAGGCTTGCTGACACGCGCATCCCGCACCACCCCCACGCAGGCGAAAGGACCAAGGTGTGGACCGTCCGGGCGAAGCCAGTAATCCGGGCGAAGCCAGTAGCCCGCTGCTGTTACGTCTTCGGTCCCCGCGGGAAGCCCCGCGCATAGGACAACAACGTCTGTCCCACACACGCACAGACGCGCACATACATCATGCTCGGCACCCCCCACAGTATAGTCGTGGTGTGAGCACACAAGTACTAGCTGCAGAGTGCACACCTGACTTGAGGGTGAGGGTCGTAAGAATCAAAGCCTCTTGGTGCCAACTCGCAGCCCCATCCCAATCGTCCGGCCCGCTAGCGGGTGCCTCATTCGTGATCTCGTCCGGCAGATGAGGCCCGCTTTGCAGGCGGCGCGTCTCGGGCGACGAGGAGCGGGAACGCCGCGGCGGCCCACCCTCGCCGCGCGCGGAAAGGGCGTCGCGTGAATCGTGCTGTAAACGTGTGATGCACGCCCTGCGAGCGGGGCGGGGTGCGCGCTGTGCCTGTGTTCAAAAGGATCCAATTTGAAGAGGAAGAGCAGCAGCGTGGTGCAGCCTCGCGGCGAGCGTAGTATTTCACTACCCAAGGCTCTCGCACACGCACGATTCACACGACAGACAAGGCGCAGACGACGGCTTCCTTAGAAGCCATCGTCCTCGCCAGCACAACTATGCTGTGATCTGCATCTGGAGGGTCCGCCCGCAGGCGCATTTTGTATACCGAGGCGGTGCCCGGTGCCGAGCGCAGGCAGTGCCCACAGGTCGGACCTTAAGACAGCATTGAAGGGGAGAGCGGGGCCGGGGGCGGCGGCGGCGGCGGCGGCGGCGGCGCGCGGCGCACGCGTGCGCGCGACTGAGGCTAGAGGACGATGAGCGCTGGTAGCGTGGCTTCACCTCAGAGTCACACCGCCTAGTCTCACTGTTTTCCCGCAGTCGCCAAGCTTCAAGCAAGTGTCGCTCTCGCACTGTACAGGTGTGAGGTGACTGAGTCTCGCGCACTCTCAGTAGAGCAGACAGAGAGCTCTCCCCACGCAGCAGGTCCAGTGAGCTGTGAGGGCGATTTTCCGTGTACTCAGCCTCCACACCCTGCGGTTGACGTACTGTAAACCATTTACGCGCCACGCCCCTCGTCCCGTGGCCTCCCACGCCCACCCCGCCCACCCCGCCCACCCCGCCCACCCCGCCCACCCCGCCCATCGCGCCCACCGCGCCCCCCTCTCCCCCCTCGCCTACCGACCGCCTCCGTGGCGCCCACGGGCTGAGCCTGGGGCACGGTGCGCGAGGGCGGCTGGTGGACAAACGTCGTCTGCGCCGCCACCAGCCGCCCAGTTGCGACGATGGGCAGCGCCGGCTGGCGGCAGGCCGGGCAGTTGGTGTCGCGCTCCAGCACGCGAGGCACACATGTCTCACAGTACAGAGCGTGGCCGCACGCGAAGCGGACCGAGCGCGGCGCGTCCCAGCAGAGGTCACACAGGCGCTCCTCGGCTGCCGCCGTCTCCCCCACCTCCACCGCCGCTTCGACTAGCGCCTCCAGCCGCGGCAGCGCCTCTGCGAGCGGCATCCGCTTCTTCTTCCGCTCGTATGCCAGCCCGACCACGAGCCGCGCCAGCTCCTCGGCCTGCGCCGCCGACCAGCCCGCGTCGGCAGCCGCGATGCGCTCCGCCGTGTCGGGCTCCTCCAATTCATCCTCGCACGCGTTGAGCAAACCCAGAGCGCCGCGGCCGGTCAGGGCGACGAGCAGCGTGATGCCGAGCGCATAGCCGTCGGTCAGCACGCTGGCCTGGCCATCCTGCGTGATGATCGGGTCCATGTAGCCTGGCTTGCCAAAGATACGCTGCGTCGACAGGTGCGAGACCTGTCCATTGCTGCCGGCCGTCGCCTCTGCCGCGCGCGCGAGGCCCACGTCGGCGAGGTAGCCGTTGCCGCGCTCGTCGAGCAGGATGTTGCCCGCCGAAACATCGCGGTGCAGGATCATCGGAGAGCAGCTGTGCAAGTAATGCAGCGCGCTCGCGGCGTCGCGCAGCACGCGGAGCCGTGCGGCGGAGGAGAGCGGCGGAGGCGGCGTCTCGAAGCCGAGCATGCGGAGCCGCTGCAATGCGGCTGGAGCGCGGTAGAGGCGGTCCTCGAGGCTGCCGCCGCGGCAGAGGGGGTAGACGAGGCACGCTCTCGCCGGTGCCAAGCAAGCGCCGAGGAGAGGGAGCAGGGACGGGTGGCACGCCGCGCTGAGCGTGCGCACCTCGCTCTGCAGCTCGGCGAGGCCTTGGGCGCCGACACCAACCAGCGCCGTCTTGACGGCGAACCCGCAAGCGACGCGAGGAAGCGACGGCAGCGCGTCGGCGCGGTAGACGCGCCCAAAACCTCCCTCGCCCACCTTGCGCGCCTCGGCAAAACCGTCAGTCGCCGCGATGAGCTCGTCGAGAGGGACGGCGGCGGGCGGCGCGGCGGCGGCGGCGAGGGCGGCGACACTCGCCGAAGCTTTCGCTTCCGCCGCTGCCGCCGCTGCCGCCGCTGCCGCCGCCTCTTGAGCCTCCGCCGCCGCCACGGCCGCCACTGCCGCCTCTATGGCCGCCACCTCCGCCGCTGCCTCCGCCGCCGCCACCTCCGCCGCCTCCGCCTCCGCCCTCACCCTCGCCTCCTCCCTCTCCCTTGCCGCCTCCTCCCTCGCCTTCGCCTCTGCCTCCTCCCTTGCCCGCGCCTCTGCCTCCTCCCTTGCCCGCGCCTCTGCCTCCTCCCTTGCCCGCGCCTCTGCCTCCTCCCTTGCCCGCGACGCCGCCTCCGCCTCCTCCGCCGCCCGCGCCGCCGCAGCCTCTGCTACCACCCGATCCGCTTCCTCCGCCGCCCGCGCCTCGTCCGCCGCCCGCGCCTCGTCCTCCTCCGCTGCCCGCTCAGCCGCCGCCGCCTGCCTCGCCGCCGCCTTCTCCTCCTTCTGCCGCTGCCGCTTCAGCGCCCTGGCCTCGCGGGTCTTTCGCTCCGCCAGCTCGTCGCGCAGCCGCCGCGCCGCCCGCAGCGCCTCCGAGCCGTCGGCGGCCTGGGTGTTCGCGTTGATCGCCGCCCTGAGCGCCTCGAGATCGGCGTCGCCTCGCTCGCACGCCTCAACCGCCTCACGCAGCGCCGCCTCGGCAGCATTGCGCGCCTCCGCCGCCTCCGCAGCCGCTGCCACCTCGCGCGTGGCCGCCGCGGCCTGTTCGGCTGATTCTGCGACCGCCGCCTCCCCCTCCGCCTCTGCTGCGGTCGACGAGTGCTCCTCGAACGCGCGCACGCACTCGGCGTGGCCCTCCCCCTGGGCAAACTGAAGCGCCGCCCTGCCGGCAACAGTAGGCGCCACGTCTGCGCCCGCCCGCAGCAAGCGCCGCACGACGGCGGGGCGGTTGAGGAGGGCGGCGTACATCAGCGCGGTGAAGCCTTTGATGTCCTGCAGGTTGATCTCAGCGCCGTGCCGTATCAGCAGCTCAACCACACCCTCGTGGCCGTTGTCGGCGGCGGCCATCAGCGCGGTGACGCCGTCGCTCCTCTGCAGGTTGATCTCAGCGCCGTGCCGCAGCAGCAAATCGACCACCCGCTCGTGGCCGCTGCGGGCGGCGAACATCAGCGCGGTGCCGCCGTCGCTGTTCTGCTGGTCGATCTTCGCGCCGTGCTGCAGCAACAGCTCGACCAGCCGCTCGTGGCCGCACACGGCGGCGCCCATCAGCAGCGTGATACCGCACACGTCGCCTCTCTCGTACGTCGCGTCGACCCGCCCGCTACTGTCGAGCCACGCCAGCACCGCCTCCTCATCGCCTCGATGAGCCGCTGCCACGACCGCATCGGGGGCTGCCACGACACCGCTCGACGCCCGCCCCGCCGCAGCCGGCGACAGATTACCGGGCCGCACCCGCACGCTCTCGCCGCCGCCCTCGAGCGCCACCGCGTACCGCCCGCCCTCGAAGCTCCGCGCCACACCCAACCGCCCGTTGAGCTCGGGGCGGGCCGAGAGCCCATCGAGCACGACTCGCTGGCCGAGCAGCGGCGCGTCCTCAGCTGCCGCTGCCGCGCCCGAGCAAGCGCCGGCCCCTGCTCGGCCCTCCGCCGCCGCCGCCTCAGCCAAGACCTTGACGCACTCGTCATGGCCATTCTCCTTGGCCAGCTGAAGCGCCGTCTTGCCGTCAAAGGTAGGCGCCGCGTCTGCGCCCGCCCGCAGCAAGCGCCGCACGACGGCGGGGCGGTTGAAGAAGGCGGCGATCATCAGCGCGGTCCAGCCGACGCTGGTCTGCAGGTTGATCTTCGCCCCGCGCCGGAGCAGCAGCTCGACTATCCGCTCCTGGCCGTACATGGCGGCGCCCATCAGCAGCGTGATGCCGCTCATGCCGCCTCTCTCGTACGTGGCGTCGGCCCGCCCGCCGCCCTCGAGCCACGCCAGCACCGCCTCCTCCTCGCCACCCTCCGCTGCTGCGATGAGCGCATCGGGGGCTGCCGCGGCACTGCTCGACGCCCGCTCCGCCGCCACCGCTGGAGATAGCGTCGTCGCGACTCTCGATCCAGCCGAGGAAGCGTCGCCGGAGGAAGCGCCGCCTGCGCCTTCGCCGCCGGCTGCCGTCGCCGTGGGCCGTCCCGCCAACACCTCCTGGACGTGCTTCTTGAAGGCCTCGACGCACTCGGCGTGGCCCTTCGCCTTGGCCATCTGCAGCGCCGTCTTGCCGATAACCGTGCGCGCCGCCGTGTCTGCGCCAGCCCGCAGTAAGCGCCGCACGACGGCGGGGTGGTTGAAGAGAGCGGCGTACATCAGCGCGGTTAGGCCTTCGCTGTCCTGCAGATTGAAGTTCGCCCCGCGCCGTATCAGCAGCTCGACCACCCGCTCGTGGCCGCTGCGGGCGGCGATCATCAGCACGGAGGAGCCGTCGATGTTCAGCAAGCTGATCTCCGCGCCGTGCCGAATCAGCAAGTGGGCCACCCGCTCGTGGCCGTAGTAGGCGGCGAACATCAGCGCGGTGCCGCCGTCGCTGCTCTGCAGGTTGACCTTCGCGCCGTGCCGCAGCAACAACTCGACCAACCGCTCCTGGCCGTGCATGGCGGCGTCCATCAGCAGCGTGAGGCCGCTCACCTCGTCTCTCTCGTACGTCGCGTCGACCCGCCCGCCGCCGTCAAGCCACGCCAGCACCGCCTCCTCCTCGCCATGCTCCGCCGCCAGCACGACCGCGTCGGGGGCTGCAGCAAACACCATCGGCAGTGGGTTCCGGCTCTTTACGGGCAGGGGCACGCCGTGCAGACGCGCCAGCAGTCTCTCTCTCTCTCTCTCTCTCCGAACAAGGAGGCAACGCGTGACACCTGAGAAGATGTGGAGATGCAGGGGCGATAGAGTTGCAGAGGGGGCTATGGGCGTGTGTTTGTTCGCCAAAAACGGCGAAAAAAAGCTGTAGCAGACTTCTTACTCCTCCGAAATTACACGCATGCGGTAGGACACGGGACGTAGACGGCACACACAAGAACAATAGTGACACTCGAGAGAAGTGATAGAAGTGCAGGGGCGGCAGCCGCGAACCCCCGGTGCCGGGAGCGGCGGCGTGGGGCGGAAGGCGCTGGCATCGCACACCAAATAGCGGGCCGCGCGGAGACGGGCGCCGGGCGCAAGGGGGTGGTAGCCGAAAACCCCCAAACGCCCGGCTCCTCCGGACTCCCTCGCGCGTCGCGTGCGGGCGCCAGCGCCCGGCGCCCTGCCCGTCGCCCCCACACTGGGGGCGGGCGCGGCTGGCGGCGCGGCAAGGTGGACACGGCTAGACGATCGGCTCGTAGCCCTCCTTCTCGACCTCCTCGTCGGTGTACACCTCCTGGCCCGCCTTGCGCATCTCGGCCACGCGCTTCTTGAGCTTCTTGAGCTCCGACTTGGGGATCTTCTTGAGCGCCTGCTTCTCCTCGATCTTGTTGCCAAACGCGTCGAACTTGTCCTCCTTTGTGAGCGACGCGTTCTTGGCCGCCTCCTTCTCCGCCTTTTTGCGCGCCTTCTCGGCGGCGTCCATCCACTCGGAGCCCGAGACGGTGCAGCGGCCGTCCACCACCGACCAAACCTCGGGGCAGAGGGCGGAGTAGAACTCGCGCTGGTGGGAGATGATGATGCAGCCGCCGGCGTAGTTCTTGACCGCCGTGGCGAGCGCGCCGAGCGAGTCGCGGTCCAGGAAGTTGGTCGGCTCGTCGAGGATGATGATGTGCGGCTCCATCCACATGGCCGCCGCGAGCACAACCTTGACCTGAAGGCGGTGGCGGGGAGGGCGGGGGTGGGGATGGTGGGGAAGGGGATGGTGGGGAAGGGGAAGGCGGAGGCGGGGGAGGCGGGGATGGGGGCGGTGGAGATGGCGGCGGCGGCGAAGGCGGAGGCGGGGAGGGTGGGGGCGGGGATGGGGGTGGCGGTGACCTTCTGGCCGCCCGAGAGCGCGCCGATCTTGGAGTAGGTGCCGAACTGCATCTCGAGGTTGAAGTTGTCGAGGTGCTTCTGGATGTTGAGCGCGGTCAGCTTCTTGGTGGCGATGCCCGACTGCTCAAAGGCGATGCGCTCGTCGACGCCCATCATCAGCTTGGTCAGCGCGCCCGCGCAGTCGTACACCGGCTTCTTCTTGTCGGCGTTGTCGGTCCACTTGAAGCGCAGCAGCATGTCCTTGTTCATCCACTGCGTCTCGTCGCCCTCCTTGTGGCCGAACCAGCACACCTCGTACTCGTGCCCCTTCTTGCCCTTGCGGCGCGAGCGCAGCATGCCGACCTGGCCCGGCTTCTTGTCGACGAGCAGCTCCTCCTCCTCGGTGAGGTCGAGGTGGTTGGAGGCGAGGCCCTCGCGGTCCATGCCGCCGGCGAAGCGCCACTCGATGTAGTTGACCGGCGTCTGCTCCAGGTGGTTCTCGATGTGGTGGAAGGCGTGCTGCGCGACGTACGCCAGCCGCATGTTGGGGTGGCGCACGATGGACGGCTCGCCCTCGCCCTCGTTGGGCTCGATCTCGCCGACCATCAGCTTGATGAGGGTGGACTTGCCGGCGCCGTTGACGCCGATGACCGCGACGCGCGACGCCATCGACACCTGCACGTTGATCTGGTTGAGCGTGTTGACCTCGCGCGTGGGGTACTTGAAGTAGACGTCCTTCATCTTGATGAGCGCCTTGGTGGGGAGAGGTGGGGTGAGGTGGGGAGATGTGGGGCCGTCGAGACGGACGGCCGCGGCGGCGAAGGAGCGGCGGGCGGGGGCGAGGGAGGAGAGAGGCGGGGGAGGAGAGAGGCGGCGCCTTCGTGCGCGAGGTGACGCCCTCGAGCATGCCCGGGTCGGGGAAGGAGAAGGCGATGTTCTCCGACGCGAGCTCGTAGTAGGCCTTGGCCTCGGGCATGATCTTGACAAACTCGGAGAGGTTGCCCTTGTACACCTTGAGCTTCCGGTTCTTCTCGTAGTGGCACATGTCCTGCGCCACCGCGTCGAGGAACGCAGAGTCGTGCGACACAATCATCGACGAGATCTCCTTGCCCGAGAGGTCCTGCACGTACTTGGTGAGCCAGGCGACGCCGTGGACGTCGACGTGGTTGGTCGGCTCGTCGAGCAGCAGCAGCTCGGGCTCCTTGAGCATCGCGCGCGAGAGCGCCAGCCGCATGCGCCAGCCGCCCGACAGCGCGCCGACCGGGCCCCACATCAGGTCCTCCTTGAAGCCGACGGCGGTCATCTGGGCGGCGATCTCGTCCTTGGTGCGCTCGGGCAGGTCCATGTGGATGAAGTCGACGCACGACACCTCCGCGTGCGCCGCGGAGACGTCGCACTCGACGTAGACGGAGCGGATCTCCTTGGGGAAGCCCTCGACCATGCCCGCGGCGATGGAGCGCATCAGCGTCGACTTGCCGGCGCCGTTGGGCCCGATGAGGCCGTAGCACTTGCCGCGCTTGAGCTTGAGCTTGGTGTTGTGCAGCAGCACGCGGTTACCGTACGCGAGCGAGAAGGAGCAGTCGCAGAGCACCGCGAGGTCGTCGTGGTCGACCTCCTCCTCCTCCTCGACGCCGGCGCCAAACTTCTTGGCGCCCTCCTCGAGGAAGCGCTCGCCGTTGATGATGGCCTCGGCCTCCGAGACGATGGCCTTGAGGTACGGGACGACCATGTCGTTGACGCGCGTCCGCGCCGACGCGAAGAGCGGCGCGGTCACCTGCGCCACCCATTGCGAGACCTCGTCCGAGTTGTAGGCGTTGCCAGTCAGGATCTCAGAGAGCACCGCCTCAACCTCGACGGGCGAGCAGTCGACCTTGACGGCCTCAAACTCGCCGAGCGTCACCTTGACGGTGATGAGCGCCTCCTCCGTCTTGGAGCGCACCTCGGGCACCGAGATCTCGTCGATGTTCTTGGTGAGGGTGGCGACCAGGTCGGGCGCGAAGAATGCGGCGTCCGCCGGGTTGTTGACGAGCTTGTACATAGTGTCGACGACGACGGCCGACTTGCGCTGCATGTTGACGTTGCCGCGCACCTTCAGCCCGCGCATCAGGATCGGCATGATGAGCGCGAGCGTCGGCTCGTCGACCGCCGCGACGTAGGTGGTGCCGACGAGCTTGTCGAGGCACGACTCGCCCTCCGTGTCGGGGTTCAGGTTGGCAGAGATGATGGAGTCGATCAGCGGGTAGACGTCGGCGTTGTCGATGACGGAGCAGCAGGCCTTGAGCGCCTTGACAGCCTCCTCCTTGATGGACGGCTTCGGGTCCTGCGACACCTCCATCAGCTTGATGACGATGGTCGGCAGCAGCGTCGAGACCGCCTTGGCCGACGTCTCGGCAAGGCGCGCAAACATCTTGACGGCGCCCAGCTTGGTCTGCCAGCGGTGCTCCTCGAACTGCTTGAAGAGCATCGGCAGCATGGCGTCGACCGCGAGCGGGTTGAGCGCATCCATCATCGCCTCGCCCGCCTGCTCCGCCTTGATCTGCACTTTGCGGTCCTGCGCACGAGGCAGGCGGCAGCCGCGACGGTAAGCGGGCGCGGAGGCGGAGGAGCGGGCGGCGGCGCGGCGCTCGGGGCGGCGGCGAGGCGGCTCCGCGGCTGGCTCGGCGGGCGGGGCGGCGAGGCTCGCGCCTTGTCCGCGACGAGCGCCATCACAATGTCAAAGACGGTCATGAGGTACGGCTCCGGCCAGTAGACGCCCTGCGCCTTTGCCCACTTGGCGAGGTCGGCGGTCGCCTCCATGCAGGCTTCCTTCTTGGCCTTGTCATCGGCCGACTGCGGTGGCGAGGCGGACGGCGTGAGCGGTCGGACGGCCGACGCGGGGCGTTCTGGCCTCTCTGCGCGCGGCCGGCGCGCAGGGCCGCGGTGACGGACTCTCCCAGGTGTGCGCGCGCCTTCTTGATGGTTGTGATCACGGACTTGACCGAGGTCTTGTCCGTCTCCGCGAGCAGTGTGGCGGCACTCTCGCTCCAAGCGAGATCCTCAGGAAGCTTTGACATTGCTGCGCCTGCGAAAAGCGGCGCGCCGCGAGTCAAGTCCCGGTCGGGCCGGCGTGCGTCGAGGCGCGTGCGTTGCGCTGTGGCGTTTGGCCCGTGGGTCGCCGCGGGCGTGGCGGGGGCGCGCGCGCTGGCCGAGGTGGGGTTCTGGGCACGCGAACTGGCGCCGCGGTGCGTGGATGGCCGCACGTTGGTTGTCGACGTCTTCGCTTGGAAGGTTGTCGACCAAAATCCTTGTGAAAAACAAGGCCAAAAAGCCACGTGGCTTTGATTCCTCCGGGAAAGGAATCTCGC